TTCATCATGCAGATGAACCTCCAATTTCAGGAGGTGGCGTTTCATCAGTGACATGACCAAGAGGCTCTCTTGATTAGAGTCTGCTCAAATTTAATTGCTGTGCATTCTTCTTGGTCAAGAGAGAAAATCTCTGTGCTTCTGGTTATTAAAAACAGCAAGGACTCCGCATCACGCCTAAAGTCCTGACTTCTGTGCTGGCACTCTCAATTTCTGTCTGAGTTTGTGAGAGTGCTCTGACAGAAAGTGTCACTTCAGTTTAGCTAGAGGGACACAGAGAAGATTTGGATAAGTCGGTTGTTCAGGTGCGTGGACGTGTCACTATATCCCTTTGTCCATCAAGTATTCAGCTAACTTGGAGTCTGATTCTGTCGGACTCTAATAGCGTGCTTGGGTGCTGATTTATGGCAGCTATGTAGTCTGAACCGAGTGGGGAAGGGAGCAGTTGACACGTGGATATGGAAATAATCTTTCATGGGGGAACCCTAATAGGGCTACCCCCTGAGGAAATGCTCAGCACTACTGCAGCATGGCTCAGTGGCAGGTGGGCGGGATGGAGTCTCCCAAAACTAGTGGTGGGTGGATGGAACACAGGACAGGAGCACTTCGTATTGCAATATTCGGCTGCGGGTCACCAATTCTGCTGCACAAAAGAGAAGAATGGGGGGGGGGCAGATTATGTAGCTGGAGTTTATTTATGTATCCTTGTAGGTCTTTGTTTGCACAAAGAAAAGCCCTGCTGGCCCAGAGCAATGGCTTGTATGGCTCAGGGTAATTTTTCTGGAACTAGGATGCTTCTGGGAATCCCACAAACAAGTTTCCAGGGGCAGTGCCAGGTGCTGAGAAGACTGGGGGGCTCAGTCCCACAGGACAACAGCCCCACACAGAGTAGGTGTGTGCTGATTTTCATAACTCTACCGGTGTGTGTCTTTAAGAGGCCCTGTCTCCTAAGGACAGCCTTACTTGTAAAAAGGGATGCATGGGTGGAGAGAGGAGGGCATCTGGTTCAAGAAGAAAGGTTCAGGAGCAAGGTGAAGCAGCAGCAGGTGATGCACCTGTGGGCCCATGGGTGGGCAAATCCAGAGGGATCCAATGCAAGAGAGAGAATCCAGGCCCAAGTGCCCCTGGAGAACAGGAGGAACAGATGATCTCCCAGAGATTTGGGGCTGCAAATGAAAGATTCGGGGTTCGGAGCCTAATGGGCCGCTCACCTATCCCACCGCTTTCTGTTTTTAAGTCCCTAGAACCTAACAGTTATACTCTTCCTGCATGTGGAGGTTCCATTTAGGCAGTGTAGGCAAATGCCATGCATTATGCTCCAGTTAACATCAGCACTGCTTCTGGCAGTGAATTTCACAAGTTAAACAGTAAGCCCTTCTTTGGGTGCAAAGGGTGTTGTTGGGAAATCCCCTCCCAGGCTCCATTATGACAGGAAAAGGGGAAAGATTGGAAGAGTTCCCTCTGTGCACCCCTTTGTTGAACGCATCCCACAAGGGAAGGGCAGAAAAATACAGCGCAGTAGCACAGAGATGTGCAATTTGACTATATTCCATTTTTACTTTTAAATGTGGACTGTGGTGGTTCTCTTGCTTAAAGTCCCAGCAAGGGATTTTAAAGGATTTCTACATGATGTGTTGTCTGCACTCTTTGCTTTGCACAGAACAAAGGAATATTGATCTCACCGTGGGTAATTCTTCAGATAATCTTTCCTTCTGATCCATGAAATTTAGACTGACTCTTTTTCTTAAAACCTGCCTGGGCTTCTGGCATTTGGTACGTTGCTCTGTTATCTGCCCGAGCACGTATGTAAAGATAAATGTAGTTTACTGAGCAAATGCTGAGATAGGAAATGACAAAGGGAATCTGATCCAGATGCAAGCTGCGATCAGTAAACCAAAGTGGGTGGCCATCTCTTCACAAGAAGAGAAGAAAACAACATCCAAAATTTCTGTGTCTGGTTTTTTTAATGTGACTATTTTTCTTTGCCCTGTGCTCTTATACCTCAACAAAGGATGAGACATCTCAAAATTTCACATTTTAAGACATTTTTTTAAAAATTGGCAGACATGCTTGGAAAATAATACTGATATCCTTCTATCTTTCCCCTGGTTTCCCCACACTTAGAAATAAGTTGGGAGGGAAGGGTTCGGGGATGGGACAGGAAAAGCAGATTTACTGGAATTTGGCCAAAGAGTCAGTACCAAAAGTTCTGGGTGAGACTTTTGTTATGCTGGAGTGGTTTCAAAGGAGAAGAGCTGGTTCGTTTCATTGCTGTCAGCTCCAGGGTATGTCACGGAGCTATACAAGCTGTAATACAGAAAGGACATGAAGGGTGATCATGTCAGCTGCTCTGGTCATCCAGCATTCCAGAGGTCAACCAGGGTATCCGTGGACTGCCCGCCACACCACTGGAGCCTTCTGGAAGCCATCTGGGTCCATTAGTCTCTGGGGATGGTGGCCTTAATGCCCCCCCCCCACACCCCCCCCCCCCCCTTGCAGAGAGGAATAACCAGCAGCAGACTGAACCTCAGCAAGAGGTCATCCAGCCAGGATGCTGGACCTGAATCAAATTTGCCCACATCCAGATAAGAATCATTGCCCCTGGCTGGGGTGTACCTCTCAATGTGCATTGAGCTGATGAAATGTTGGGCACTCTCATGGTTGTCATGGAGACCATGAAATCCTGTTCCATCCCATGCAAGGTGCCTCGGCGTGAACGCTGACAGTTCCCAAAACCAACAGCCCAGGGGACGAAAGCATCACATCCGAGGCTGCCGTCATCCACTCGGACAGTGGTTGGCAGTGCACCAGGAGAATCCCAAAGCTGGCCTGCTGGCCCCACACAAGTGCAGATGTAGTAAGGTGCGCAGGGAGTCTGCAGAAAGAAATCCCTCTATAAGTCCCTCAAAGGCTCTCACAAAGAGGAAGGTCAAGATCTCTTCTGGATGATGCCAGACTGTAGGACACGGAAGAATCAAGTCAAGCTGCGACAACCCAGGTTCAGGATGGACATCAGGAAAAGTTTCCTCACTGTCAGAGCAGTACGACAGTGGAACCAGCTGCCTAGAGAGGTGGTGGGCATTTCCACACTGGAGATATTCAGAAAAAACCAGGACCTCCCTCTGAGTGGGATGGTTTAAATTGGTGTCCTGCAATAGCGGAGGGTTGGACTTGATGGCCTTCATGGCCCCTTCCAACTCTACTATTCTGTGATTCTAAGAAATCCATTACTTGCAGATCAGCGCAACTCACATGCTGGCTTATGTCCTCTGAGATCACGATTGAAGAGTCCCTTGATCTGCTCCAGTCTGGCATTGAACAGCATCACCCAGAGGCCCGAGGGCAAGCCGATAGGGCAGCTGTCCAATCTGCAGGTGTAAGGAGGGCCAGGACACAGCTTAGCCTGGCTAGGCCTCCTTCTGACACCCTATTTCGCTCTAGCCATCACTACACTGATGTCATTGCCCAAGATTCCCACGTGGCCCATATTGTCCCTCCTAGTCACATATTCAAGCCCTCTGGTGAGAACAGAGAGCCAGTGTGGTGTAGAGGTTAAGAACATGGGACTGTGACTCAGCCATGGTGCCAACTGGATGACTTTGGGCCCGTCACAGATGCTCAGCCTGACCTGCCTCACAGGGTTGTTGTTCTGAGGATAAGATTGAGATCTGAGGCTGAGGCTTTCTTCTGGGAGCTGTCCTTGAAAGAGATTCAGGAGGGAGGCGGGCCTTCTCTGTGGTGGCACCCTGACTGTGGAATACGCTACCCAGAGAGGTACGCCTGGCGCCAACACTTCTTTTCTTTCAGTGCCAGGTGAAACCCTTTTTATTCTCCCAATATTTTAATTGTTAAATTGTTTTAATTTGTGGTTTCACACCAAACATTGACGGCTGTGCTACTTTTACTCTTTCTTTTATTTTTACTCTGTTTTATTAATATTTTTGTAAACCCTCCTGAGATGTCTGTGATGGAACAGTATTGAACATTTTTAAATAAATAAGTTGGAGGATGAAAATTATGTAAGCCGCCTTGAGTTCCTCAGAAGGAAAAAAGGCAGGATATAAATAGCATAAATCCCACACCATGGGTCTAATTTAAAGTCCTATGCAATTGGTGTGGGAATCTGCAGGCAGGAGCTGATCCTTCAGCTCAGATGGCAGGATCATGCCTTCCACACCTGGAAGCTGATACACCTGCAGGAGGAGGGCAGAACCAGACACTCAGTGCCGGTCCCCAGCTGACACCCCTTTCCCTCAAGGCCCCAGCAAACTCTCAGGGAGTTTTGAAGCCAGCATCAAACATTTAAATGCTGGTTAAAAGGAAGCCTAGGCTGTGATTAATGCTGGCTTGGACATATTTACAATTGCATTTATTTATGTATAGACTGCCCACTGCTCTGTGTCAAGGCAGCAGAGTTTTAACAAGAAGAAGCTAAATACAGTACTAAAAACTGCAAGAAGGTCATAGCAGCAATAACCAGCACAGTAAGACAGACAAGGGAAAGTGGATGGAAATAAATTCCAGGGATCCTTGAGAACCGTGTGCCTTCAGATACCTTTGTTAGTAGCCAGCAAAGCGTCCTGCTCCTCTGACTTAAAACACAGATGAAATAGGTTTCTGTTGCTGTTGGTACGTTCAAAGGGCTGCACGTCCGCCTTGCACTCAAGTCCTCGGTGAAGGCTACTTTTCCTTTGCCACGCCATTTTGCAAGAGTGCCTGGAACAGTTTTTCAACCCGTCAAATGCGCCCATGAGTCACAAGGGTTCTCTGAGGCAGAAGGTCATTAAAAATGCCCATCAGGGGACAGTCTTAATATCCCACTGTAAATAGAAATCCATCAGCCATTTTTCATTCGTTCCAGGAAAGGGGCTGTGGGGAAAAGGTATTTGTCTATAGACAAGAAGGGGTTGGTTTTGCCCTTGTGCCATTGCTTAAGAATGTTTCTGGTGGATTCTCTTTTGCCTGGTTTTCTTGCTGTCTTCATAGCAGTCTTTTCTCTGCAGGTTCATCAAGGTCAGCACTATGACTGATGGGGACTATGACTATCTGATCAAACTCCTGGCCCTTGGGGATTCTGGGGTTGGGAAGACAACCTTCCTGTACAGATATACCGACAACAAGTTCAACCCGAAGTTCATCACAACAGTAGGAATTGACTTCCGGGAAAAGCGTGTGGTAAGTTTTTCCTATATAAGGTTACAAAAAAGAAGGCTTCTCCTCTTTCTGAGGCCCCATTCAAAGCAGAAACAATTTCAAATATGTGCAAGCTATGGCACACCCTTGAAGTTTCAACATCCATTTTGTGAAGATTTTCAGTCAGCCTTGGTCACTCTCATCTAACTCTAGGGCAGCTTGTTCTTCGTCCAGTCAAAGCCAGTGTTCCTATCTTGTTTCGGTTCAACAAGCCTTTCATGTACTTTCATATCCTGGTCTTTCGGGGCTGCATATGCTATGATCTCTGAAGCAACCAGATAGTCTCGATTATAGCCTGATATTCCTCTTTTTTTAATTAAATTATTCATGCAGACTTGGAAATGGCCATCAGGGTGAAACTGAGTTCGCCGTTTCCTTTGTTATAGCCTGTGGCCAAGATAATATATTACCAGCTCACCATACATGATAACTTCTCACCTCTCCATGGACCCCGTTATCTACCACCATTTTTAGACATGCTGCCGCTTTTTCTAATGGACAGCCAATTAGTTTATACTTCCACATCTCTGGTGTGAATCCCACCCCAAACTGCTGCTTCTCCTACTGCACTAAACCATTCAGTCTTTTCCATACCAGAGTAACAAGTGAGTCGTTTACATATGCTCAGTAAATATGTCATCAACCAACTCCAGTCTGCATTCTTCCAGATGTTTTGGACTTTAACTCTTCAGTAGCCAGCATGGTCAACGTTCAGGAATGCTGTGAGTTTTAGACCAAAACACCTGGAGGACACCAGGTTGGGGGATGCTGAAACATACTGGGGCTACACATGCCCTAAAGATGGCAAGTGCACCCCGAGGAAGAAATTCGTTATGTCGAGTTTTAGCACCAGAAAGTCACATGACTGAGGTACCTTTTATCTTCCTCCCAGTGTCCTTGTCTGGCCACAGCAACCTACCTGAGAAGTCTTAGCAAGGAACAGAACCATTTGTGTCAAAGATGATATTGTAGATAAAGTTTGTTGTTAGTCGCAAAGTCGTGCCCGACCCATCATGACCCCATGGACAACATTCCTCCAAGCCCTCCTATCCTCCACCATCTCCCGGAGTCCACTCAAGCTCACGCCCACTGCCCCAGTGACTCCATCCAGCCACCTCATCCTCTGCCATCCCCTTCTCCTTTTGCCATCAATTATTCCCGGCATTAGGGTCTTCTCCAGTGAGTTGGTCCTTCTCATTAGGTGGCCAAAGTATTTGAGTTTCATCCTCAGTATCTTGTCCATGGGGTTTTCATGGCAAGGATACTGGAGTGGGTTGCCATTTCCTTCTGCAGTGGATCACGTTTTGTCAGAGCTCTCTGCTATGACCTGTCTGTCTTGGGTGCCCCTGCACGCCATGGCTCACAGCTTCACTGCGCTACACAAGCCCCTTCACCACGGCAAAGGAGTGATCCATGAAGGGGAGATAAAGTTTATGGAATACAAAAATGAACTGTGGATGCAGAATGTAAGGAAGAGGAAGAAAGCTTACGGTCCTCTACCTACCATTTCCCTGAACAGAGCAGGGGTGTTCTGTGGGCCTCCAGAAGTGCCTAGGCAAGTGATCTGCCAGTTCCTCTCCCAAGGCTGTTTGTTGCCATGGACTTCACAAGTTCCCCCTCACACTGTTGCAGAGTCTGCCCGTAAGCCAGAGGCTCCCAGCTGCACCCCTTCCTGGAAGCAAAGCTCAGTAAGGCAGATCTGTGCAGGCCTTATCTGCAAAATGACTGAGGAAGGCAGCTTCCAGGCATCTCTGGAGCACTTCCTAACAAGCCTCCCATTGCCTTTATGAACATACAGTGGTACCTCGGCTCACAAATGCCTCAGTGCACAACCAAATCGGGTTGCAAACAGAAATTTCAGGAAAATTTTGCCTCAGGTCGCAACTCCACATTGGGTGACAATCGCGATCACGCCCATCTTCCCTGCATGGGTGCGATCGCAGTCGTGCTCGGGGCGGGAGGGGGGAGATGACTGCAAACATGCTGAGGGGAGGGAGATGGCTGCCATCTTTGTTGCTCTTTGTCACTTTGCTTCAAATTTTTGTGATTAAAAAAAACAGTTACAGAATGGATTACCTTTATTTACATTGAACCTTATGGGGAAATTTGACTTGGCTCACAATCAATTTGGGTTGTGACCAGAATCGTGAAACAGATTAAGTTTGTGAGCCAAGGTACCACTGTATTCTGGCTCTTGGATACTGGAATGGAAACCTAATAACCTCCATGCCTTTCTTCTGATACAGTCCATCCTTGTACCTTGGATTCTACACCTCAGGCCGTGTACTAAGAACTTTCAGACATCTCAAAGGGGCATTTTAGAGCCATTGCTCCCACAGGTTCCCATGCTCACATCTTCCACCTCAATGCAGTTGCTCTGCACAGGCCAACAATTCAGGGTGTTAAATATCATCTATCACATCCCAGTGATGTTCCCAGCAGCTTGGGATTTCCTCCAGCAGTTATCACAACATAATTGTGACATACGAGATGGAGCAAGAGGGGCTGCACAGCTGGATGAGGTTCGATTCGGTTTCCCCAGCCCAAGTGTGTAATATCGCGTCACTACAGTGCGCTACACGGGTCGTCACAGTGCAGGCGTTTGTCACAGGATCGGTTGGATGATGCCAGTCGTGATGTTAAGTGGGTGATCCGTTAGCTGCTTCAACACCTGTTGACTTCTCCCCGGGTCGGCACTCAGCCAGTCGTGTGCAACCAGGCTTTATGAAGCCGCTTCCGGTCACTGAGCAAAGGGCTAAATAAACAGTCGAGCGTGCATTGGTTGTGTTTCAGGCATACAGCAGCCGGGGGTCAAATGGATCTCCTGGGAAAGCCTTTAAGGTCCATCTGCAGCTCTGGGACACAGCTGGGCAAGAAAGGTAATGTGCAAATACTGTGATGCGGCATAATTGGCAGAGTTAATGAAAGCCACTGCATTAGATTCTGAGAAGACATTTCAGGTTAAGCGACTTTGCAGAAGTTGTTCTTAATGCCTTTGTTGTCTTCTGGAAAGGGAGAGAACTGTATCTTTATCTTCAATTTGAACTACTGCATGATTTTAGAGGACAACCAAGCTGAGGCATTTCCAGGAGCCTGGAAAAGAACCCATCTCTGTGTATCACAGATCTGCTTGAGCAAGTATCTGTGTTAATTTGCACCCTGCAGATTGAAATCCCAACAGGATTTTCCCTGCATGGCCATGTGATGATGCCCAAAGTTGCATGGCTTCCACATTTCTCCTTAATCTGGACTGTTTCCAAGCCTGTGCTTTAAAAACTCAGCTATCGGCTGTCCTCCTTCCTGCCTTTGGTCGCAGGATTGCAATAGGAGGCATTCCAGGTACATGGGAATCAAGGCACGTATGAAGCCTAGACAAGGTTTAGTTCTGGTTTGGTTTGGGGTTTTTTGCATAACTTGGCTTATTTTTGCAACACATCTGAGCAGCATTGATCTTGCTGACCATGCAGCAATTATTTAGAAGCAACGCATCCTCATGTGTGCTCCATCTAATGGGCGGGATTGAATCGGTCGCTGCTGAGGCAAGGGCCGCTTTGCTCTTGGTGGGTTCTTGTTCTTGTTTTTTTGAGTGAGAGAGGAAGAGAGCGGGAATGTGCACTCAGTCACCCGTAAAATGTGTGATGCTGTGATTACACAGGCAAGGAACTGCTGTGCACATCGTCATCAAGGAAGCAGCTCTGTGAGCAAATCTAATAAATTAGCATTTTGATTTATAAGTGTTATCACAGCAGCAGGCTTTTATCGAGTCCTTTACAGAGTCCACAAACAGCAAAGCCTGGCCCTTGTCCACCGGGGGCAAGAAGAGAAAGAGAAAGGGAGGCAGCAATTGTCTCCATTTGTAGGTTATATTTATAATGTGTACAATTCATATATTTAAGAGGTTCCTCCAGCCAGTCAGGGCATGATTTCCCTTTTTATATAAGTTAATTATTTTTTTCCTTCCAGCCACCATGGGCAGCAGGCGGTATCCTAGGGGCAGTCTTCTCTTCCATATGGAAGGGACAAGGCAGAACCTGCTTCGATATGTACATGCATTATCTTATAAAGCAAGGAAGGACTTCTTTCCGCTCTTTTGCACCATCATTTTTGTCCTATGCAGATTGAATCCTATTAATTGATTAGAACGTCAGGCAGAACTTTTGTCAGTTCCTCAGGTCATGAGATGATGTCCCTAGTAAAGAAGCTCAGGAACAAGTTCTTACTTCCATAGCGTGCTCTTTCTCTGCATGCGTGTGTGTGTATTATTCTGCAGAATGTAGAACAATTGTGAACTTCTACTTAAAGAACGCCCCACTACAGCCAGTTTTCTAGTTGTGTAAAACTTCTGGTCTCTGTGCTTCAATCACAGATCCTTGTTCATCCTTTGGATAGCAAAACTACCATTACTTATGGAAATTGATGTGATTCAGGCAGGAGACAGCATTTTAAATTCTACACCCTTCTCTGTACCTGAACTGATACACACAAGCAACTAAGTTATTGTTTGGGTTGCAGTGTAGGCTCCGGGAGGCATGCTGTCTCTGCTGCTTTCAATGCAGCATGGATAACAGCAAATCTGGAGGTATTACTCCTGTCCCTACACAAAAAGCCAATGTTCACGCTTCTGCTTGTCATTTATCTTTTGATTTCAGTGTTATTAAAAAGTGCAGCAGGACACCATTTGATTTTTTTCCAAGGTGACTCCATATGTTGATCCTTTCACTCTCTTTCTCTTGGCAGATTCAGAAGTCTCACAACAGCATTTTTCAGAGATGCCATGGGCTTCTTGCTAATGTTTGATCTCACCAGTCAGCAGAGCTTCTTAAATGTCAGGAACTGGATGAGTAAGTGGAGAGAGCAGCTGCCTGCATCGGCCTTGAGTGCTTTTAGATTAGATGTACAGCATCTGTCATCCTTCATGCAGGGGTGTTCTCCCTGTAAGATGGCATCTTTGTTCATGCTTGGGATGGTTTTAAAACAAACATGCTCCAGGACACACTCCTTGAAAGACATGTTGTGTTCATGCCAAACAGGTGTGCTAGAAGCTGCAAGTCAGTGAGTCTCTGGCTAAAATCTTGCCTCTACCCCAAATTCCCCTGGGACCATCCAAGTCCTGCTTGTAGGTTTTTCAGAGGCTTCTGGTTGGTTACTGTGGGGAAGAGAATGCTGATGAAATGGAGCTTTGGTTGAGCGCCTGTTCCCCAAGCCAGGCCTGGGCAGAAAGCAGCTCTCTAGCTGGCTGGGACTTCTACTCCCATCCTTCTTTAAGCCTCAGTTACCATCCTACCTGCTGCAGCTGCAAAATGGGGATAATAGCATGGGCCTATTTTACAGGATTCTTATAAGGATTACTCAGATAAGGTACGTGAAATGCTTTGGATGCATTGCATACATTGCATTTTTATTTGGTTCTAGTTCTATTCTAGTGCAAGAAAAAACCCTTTGTCTGTCTATTTCTGTTGCACGTAACTTGCCCTGGTCTGAAAAAATAAATCATGAACACATCTGTATTGCCTAAAGAATTGTTTCTTCAGGACTATTTCCAGATAGGATTTCAACATCCTTTCTTTCTCTTCCCCCTTTCCCTCTCCTAGGTCAACTACAAGCAAATGCATATTGTGAGAACCCAGACATAGTATTAATCGGAAATAAAGCCGACTTGTCAGATCAGAGAGAGGTTAATGAAAGACAGGCAAAAGACCTTGCAGACAAATATGGGTAAGCCAACATTATCCCAGTTAATGTCAGAAGAAATTTAAGTGACAGAATCAGTTGTGCTATTGTGGGACAAGAGCATGGAACAATGAAAAGGTACTTGGTCCTTTTGGTTTCAATGAAAGAGAATTAAGCACTCATTTAACTTTCCTGTTTACCACAATGGTTCTTGAAAGGTTCTAACAGTTCATCTGTCACCCCTGGGATATGCAGTGCTGTCTAAACTCAGAATTTTGATCAAGATGAAAGGTTTTGCATCCGGCATTAAGCATGACCCAAAGACTTTATTGGCCCCTTCCAACTCAAGTATTCTGTAATATTGACTGGTGGATTTATTCCCTATATTGCACAATAGCCAAGGTTCTCTGTAGTGAACAACCATGATAAATGCAATGACATTTAACAATAATAAAACAGTGACACATCATAATATTGCATAAAAACAAAACTGCCTTTTACATCTGAAAAGCTACAACCAGTTCATTCTTCTAGGCCTGCAGAAAAGTTGCAGGCAATACCAGCCACCCAGTTCCCAGGACTCCTATGTGCTATTTGGAGTTGGTAAATGCCTCAGCAAAGAGGGTGGGTTTGACCTGTTGTTGAACCTGCCCCTTCAAGGGGAGGGCAACCCCATCTAGGGGAGGTTGAATTCTGTCCATCCAGTGGGAGGAACCACCCACCAACAGCATTGAAGTCTTGACTGGACTGAAATTCCCCTGGCTAACCCTCCTCCAGCCCATTATTTCAGCCAAGCACTGGCTTAGCACATCCACAGCCTCACCTGCTGAAGAAGAAAAAGAATTAGAGCTGTCTGTCATTAGCACATTGATGACTATACACTCCAGAACGCTCAGTGACCTCACTCAGCGGTTTCATGTTGATGTGGAATAGCATGGGGGCAAGAGCAACCCCTGGAGGGTCCACAGGGCCAAGCAATGTCCCCCAAGAGCCAACCCTCCAAGTAGAAACAGAACCACTGCAATGCAGTGCCTCCCACTCTCAGCCCAGTCCCCCCAGAAAGGTGTCATGGTTGACAGTATTGGAAGCTGCTGGGGGATCCAGAAAATCAACAGGGCTGCATTGCCTGCACCTCTCTTCAGACATAAGTCATCATACAGGGCAAGCAAAGCCATCTCTGTTCCAAAACCCAGCCTGACCCCCAGCTGAAATGGGTCCAGATAACCGGTCTCATTCAAGAGTGCCTGGGGCTAGTTGGCCACTACCCACTCAAGGACCTTGCCCAGGAAGGGAACATTCACAGCCAGCTTGGGATCTTCCAGCTCCGGAGATGGTTTCTTCAGGAGTAGCCTCACCACTGCCTCTTCAATGCATAATAGGTTCACTTCCTGCAGAGAAGAGGCATCGATCACCTCCCTGGCCCAGCCAGCTGTTCCCTCCCTGCTTGTTCCTGTAAGCCAAGAGGGTGAAGGGTCCAGTACAGATGTAATTGCGCAAACTTGTCCAAGCCCCTTACACTCATCTGGCAAGGGAGAGACACTTTGATCATTAAGGAGGTTTTTCTGTGGTGAGGGCCATCCCTTACACTCCAAAGGTGCTGACCCCTGGATTTCCCCAAATGTGGGAAATATGACCAATATTTTCCCATATTAGCATCTCATACTTTGAAACATGTGCAGCTATTGGCCAGAATGTGGACAAGGGAGTGGAAACATTCTTGGATTTGATAATGAAGCGCATGGAACATTGTGGTCACAAGACTCGAGTCTTTACAGGCACTCAAATGTGTGGTAGTAATGCCTATGCGTTTGCTTTTCCCAAAATGATGAGAAGTATTGTGCCCACTCTGTGTAAGAAGAAGACCAGGGAAGAATCAGTGTAGATGTAGTGTGCCCAGAGAATTATCTGAAAGCCCATGATGCAGTTCTGTTGGTGCAGATTGCAAGCAATTCTGCTCTGCTCTGTGCATTTTTAAATCTTCCCTGGAGGATTCCCCAACCTTCCAGAGTAGCTTTGGGGTGGCGGGTGAATGGGATCTGCAGGGGGAAGGAAAATCTCTTCCACCCATGATTTCTTTCCTGCTGGCAGAGAGAGTACTGGATTGCACTGAAACTGTTCTAAATCTGTCTTGCTAAACGATGCCATCTGACAAGATTTCTGGTATTTCCTGATGCTAGCATCCCATACTTTGAAACAAGTGCAGCTACTGGCCAGAATGTGGACAAGGCAGTGGAAACGCTGTTGGACTTGATAATGAAGCGCATGGAACAGTGTGTGGACAAGACCCAAGCCTCGGACACGGCCAACGGTGGGAACTCGGGGAAGCTGGCTTCCAAAAAATCGGAGGAGAAGAAGTGTGCTTGTTGATCTGGCCACTCAGGCTGAGGAAAACCAATGAGAAATGGTCTAATCAGAAAATGGCAGACTAACCAGCTACTAAATTCTCTCCTTGGAAGCTCCCGGGGGCCACATGAGACAGCTCTTGTCATAAGCAGGCTTGGCCTTCTTTGATGCTGAGAGCATCACACTTCTGTGCTTGACAGATGCTCCCATACAGTGCCATCTCCATAGAAAACCCAAAGGCCCTCATCTTCTCAATACAATTAGGCTAGTAAATAGAGGAAAGACTGACTGGTTTTGGGGAGAGGATTGTTGAAACTTTAGGAGATAGTTTTATGATAAGACAAAGGGTTACCCTTTAGACTTGTGCCATCACTTTGAATCCTGTTGCCTTTTATTACACTGTACATTATGCATTTGCTAAAGACAGTTTATAAAAAGAAAGAAAAGGATATTTAATGTGGCTTATTTATAAATGTCTTTATGTGGTTTTTAATACCAAGCTGCCATTGTGAATCCTTTTAGCTGCCCGAGCTCCTGATGAACCTAGAATTTAGAATCGTCTCTTAGAATGAAGTTGCAGAGCTGTGTAATGGTAACAGGACAGGAAAGACATGGGCCTCAGGAGGATGGAGGTGTCCAGAAATTCTAGTTTGATGTCTGAAAGGTGCAGGTGAATACCCTGGTGCAGTTTTTGCTCTGTTACGGAAAGATACCAGCTGCTCTTTAAACACCCAGGCCAAGAGATAGCCACTGTTTCCCCAGAATATGTGCAAGGAAATTATGAGCTCTTCCCTGGAGACTTTAGAACTCTGATTTTTTAAATTTTATTTAAGGGAAGCTCTTATTTTTAGAGAAGAAAGAGAGAGGGATATTTATGTAGTTTCATAGGAGTGCAGTGAGCTTTTCCAATGAATGCCCCTTTCCCACACTGTGGGTTATTTTAATTTTTCATTTGCAAGTGGGTCACTTTGTAAAAGTGAAACTGTGCCGAGTGATGATTTGGAAAATGGAGCACCGTACAGCATAACTTTGATGAAATACAGAACATGGGGCCCAACCCTTGGAAGCATTTAAAATTCAAGGGGCCGCTTTAGGGACTCAACGGTGGAAGTAGACAGGTCGATTCTGTTACAAGCATTGTGCTGTCCAGTGACAGCACGGGTAATTTAACCTCAGCTATAATAAGACAGTGATACAGTAAAATGTATCTTTTACCATAAAAAAAATCAGACGCTTTCCTTCTGTTATGCACCATTCCTATATGATGCCACTTTAGAGAAGGTGCTTTGGGGCAATATGATGGCACCAGATGACGGAAGTCAGGTGAGGCCTCAAAGCTAACCAGATCTCACTGTGGGGCTGAAGAAAGCTCGACCAACCAGCCTATGCCCACCTAAATTGTGCAGCTTGCTTGCGTCTTCAGCTTGCTTACATAAATGCAAGTGTGATCTTACTTAGCAAGAACAGGGCAAGGCTATCCCTGGGCAGCCCAGTTTGCTGAAAAATGCGCATTTACTTGCAGCAGGAAGAGCAGCAAGATTACATTAAAAAAAGATTAAAAGCGAAGGAGGAATTTGGCATGCAGCATCGCTTGGCTTGCTTGCCTAAATAATTGGTCAGACAATTCTGGGAAACACTTTCTGAAATTCAGCCCGGTCCCTGCCATCCGTTGCTTTTTCAAGAGGTCCACTGATGCTCTCTTGTTGGAGAGCTCTTGAATCTTGAAGGTCAGCACTGGGGAGCAGTTGAGGTCTGTAACTGGTTGTGAGCAACATCTGTGGTGCTGGAACGCTGCTCACGGAAGAAGGGGATGTGCAGTTGAAAGATGGCAGCGGCTGCTGGATTTCTGCAAGCAGGAGAGTCTGTCTGCAAACTATCTAACAAGATGCCTTCTGGAAAAAAGTGCAACTAATGAACTGGTGGAGCAGTTCATAAAACCTGTGCATTTGGCTGGTTTTCTTTTTAAAAGCTTGTGCTTAATAGAAAAGGAAAGTGTGGAAAAACATACTAGAGGGGAGTTAATGATTCCTGCAAAAGTGACCTAGATTGCTTTTAGTCTTCTTTCCCAGGACAATTAGTGAGACTTACCCAGTATCCCTTATGATTAGTACAGTGCTGCACATTTAATCCATGCAGCAGCGGGCCTGACTGTTGTCTCTAAGTTGCCACATTTTAAAAGTCTTCATAACGAGGGGTTTTGTTTTGTTTTGTTTTGTTTTTTGGTTAAGAATCTGTTGCTCCCACACAAAGGCAAATCTCTTATTACCAGCATCTTCTTCCATACCACGGTACTCTTAAGAAGCACTGGAGTTTTTCAGTATGAAGGCATGAGGAGGGTACTCACAGTGTACAGGGCCATTTCCTTCACTTTCCTGTTGAGAAGAGAAAGCCTGCACATGTGTAGCGTTGACCTTAGCATGCGTACACCATATTCTCAGTTGTGGGCTCCTTTTCCCTATCCCTCAAAGTTGTCCCTTCGGAATTACAGCAGGCCATGCATTAATTTGCTTTGCAGAACCAGGATCCCAGATGTCGTATTTCCCAAGAGATTCTTCGGGCAGCTAAGCATGACTGCTTGGTTCTTGGGCACTTCAAATCCAATAGCAGAGGGCGGGAGTGCTAGGAGGGCAGGAGGCATATCTGTTGGTCTGGCATGCCTAGTCGGGCTGTTAACCTTCCCCACTCTAGAGCAGCAGCCTTGCCGTGGGACCTAGACCCACCCGTGAGGGACCAGTCCTGCATGGTCATCACCGGTCGCTACCTTACCGAAACAGCCTCTCAGTCTCAGCCTTTCCCCACCAGCATCACAGGAGAAACAGAGAAGGCAGCACCCCGGCGAGGCATCCAGGTCCGACCATGCTTGTTCCTATCTCCGTGCACCTGTCCTTGCCGATCACAGAGCCCATATGGCTGACTGCTCCATGCACATGTGCCCATCAGCCGGTGCTGAGCGCTTCTGTTACGTACACAGGGCATCCCTTGACACTGAACAAGACAGGGTAGCCTTGCGGCTTTCATTCTGCATCGTTTGGATCGAGCTGTTCGAGAAAAATACCACCTCATTTCCCAGTGCTTTTGACTCTTACAGATGAACCCCGTGCAGATCCACCTGCATCTACTGGCCACTGAATTTCAGCTCCATTCTTATCCACTGCAGTGTGCTGAAATCTCGATCTTACTAGAAGGCCACTGGGATTGCCATGCTAGTCCATGTGACACTTCACTGCATCTCTTCTGATTCGTTCTATACCTCATTGCTACTCTTTGTGTAAGGGAGACATCAAGCAGCATCACGCAGGAAATCTTGCCCTCACCATGCGTCACTAGCTGCTTCACAAAAGACGTCTACTTACCTAAAGTGGAATACTTGAATGCATCCCATTGATCAATAACAGCCAAAGCAGTAGAAAAGCTGGTATGAAAATGAAGGGTCATTGGGTAATTAATCCTTTCTGATTAGCCTAAAATTCTGGCTGGAACAGAGACAGTTATGGTGAATATTTGCAAGAAAGAATAGCTGCGTAGTGTGTGTGAGAGAGAGCCTGTTGATGCATTTCCATAGTTCATCCTTCCCCAGCCGGGGGGGGGGGGGGTCTCGAAGTGCTGGGAATTATATTGGGACAGACTCTCATAGCTGACTAGTATCCAAAAGAAAGAAACCCTTGCACTTCTTGGGCACTTCTGCATTGCTTTGGTAAGATGTCTCCCAGGGATTGGTCAAAGTATGTCCAAGGCATCCCTCCAAGGTAGTTTCACAAGCTTGACAGACTGCAGCAACCATGGATTATGCATTGCTATGGCTGCCCTGGAAGGGCATCTTCCACTGCATGGAGGAGCCCCTTGGAGGACCAAACATGAACCCAGCCATGTTCATATGAGAAAATCAACAGTGGTCCTGGGTGGGGAAAGATGTGGGGTTCTCAGAATGATGCTGGATCGGTGCGCTCTCAAGAAAAGCTCAATCTCTTATTAAATGTATATTTGCATATTAATCTAAGAGACCTTCTATCTCAGCTCTACCAAGCATTCAGGTGACACTTCATGTGATGCTGTGTTGCTAAAGCTTACCCCTTGAAGTCTCACTTTCCCAGTGAGTAAATAGCGGTCCAGGATTAAATTGTGTGAGTTCTGAAAGAACCCAGGGCTGTTGTTTGCCACCCTGAGCATTTCCACACTGGGAACTGCAGACATGCGAGCCAATTATGGATCTTCTGAGCTCACGTCTCCGAGACAGTTGGGGGTTTTGTGCATTCTCCTGAAGGTCAAACCAAGGAACATGAGTCTGAATCAAGCTGTGTGACCTGCTGTTACAGAAGCAGATTAAGAAGAGCATGTCATTGCAGAGAGAGGAGGCAGAATTAACATCAAGACTCTGAGAAGTGGGCAGAGCTTTGCTATTTCAGTGGGGCTAAGACTGCACCAAGAAACATCCATGCATGTAGAACAGAGGGAAAGGGGAATGTTCTCTAAGTTACCTCCCTTTCATTTTGACTATACTGCTGTTTTGTCAAGCCTTTCCCACCTCACATCATCTGCCCAGGACAAGTTCTGGAGGTGGAGATTAGGTCCTTCTAAGCAGTACATTGTGTGTTTATGCACATGTGTATGTGTGTGCTAACACACACCTCTCTTCCATTCTTCTCTCTTTCCACTTAGAGAAGAGCAGGTGGCATCCTTTATACTCTTCCATATTCTACTTTAGATTCTACTTACTCTCATACCAACACATTAAATGGATCCGATATGAAACATTTCTGTCCTTGTATTCTCCTCCTCCTGATACAATAGGGCTTTCCATGTACATAGCTATATAATGCAAGGTACTTTGTGTACCTTTCTGGAGCATATTTATTGCAACTATCCTTTTCAGATTTTATATCCTTTGTCTTTCTCATTCAACACTAACAAACTTCTAGTTGATCAATTGTTTGTTTTTTTAAAACCTTTTTTCCTTTGCTTCTGTGCTTGGGTGTGCTCCCTTCTGTTAAGATTACTCTAAGCATGTTTAATGTTGGTCCGTGCGGCAGCCCTGCTCATGTTAAAAGATCTACACTCCTGAATGTGGAAGTTTTTATTATACGTCTCTTGGTAGACTGTGATGCCAGCATAACAGTGTCAGTCATAACTTTGGTGTATCAAAGTAGTTGTGGCTTTAAAATGGTATCCCGCTATATACACGTGCACTCTGTCAAATTTTATTAACTGGTGTCTGGGTTTGTATAATATGGTCAGGGAAAATAATCCTGTGATTTCATTTCTGCACTGTTCTTTTGAAAATTAAAAGATAATACATTTTTAACCAGTAGTAGACTCTTGTGTTGTGGAGGAAAAGATCAGTAAGAGTGTGTACCTAATCTGTGTGTGTGTGTGTGCGTGTGAGAGAGAGGGGTGGGGGGGGGGGAGAGAGAGGTTGGTATTCATTGTAGCCATTAAACAATGACTTGGTTCAGATAACACGACAAACATGTTATCTGATGTTGTAAGCCGCCCCGAGGCCTCGGCAAGGGGCGGCATAGAAATGTTTTAATAAATAAATAAAATAAAATAAACATTGTGGGCAAGTAGCCATGATTGATTGTTACATCCTCCTCCAAACCCAGCCTGCTTTATCCACAATGACTTGTTCTTTTCCAACAAGCTACTCTGGGTTTGTAGAGTTTATTTACTTTTATTTATTTAAAACTTTTGTATACAGTCCCATCACGGACGTCTTGGGATGGTTCACGATAACATCAATAAGATCAATCAATAATAAGAGCACCCAACTTATGGAACGCACTCCCCAGAGAGGTCCGCCTGGCAAATTTGCTTTTCGGCGCCAGACCAAGACTTTTTAATTTAAATGTTATTTTAATTGTTGATTTTATTTATTGATTTTAAAAAATTTTGCAAGAATGTCTCCAGTATTTGGTGTATTTGTACAGATTGTATTTATTTATGGATTGGAAGCTGCCCTGAGGCTTATGCGAATGGGGCGGCATATAAGTTTTCCAAATAAATAAATAAATAAATAAATAAGATAAAAGTAGCACAGCATCCAATAATAAATATAAAACCACAATTAAGACTATTAGCAATTCAAATAGTGGGAAAATAAAAAGATTTTCACCAGGTGCCGAAAGGAAAAAAGCGTTGGCACCAGGCGAGCCTCTCAGGGGAGTGTTTTCCACAGTCGGGGTGCCACCACAGAGAAGGCCCTCTGTCCTACCCACAGTTGATTGTTCCATTTTCTGAACCCAGATAACCAGCCCCACTGCCCAGCGACGAGCAAGGCGTGAGCCAGGGCAGCGCACTCCGTCTCTCGCTGCTCTTGGAGGTCTTGCTTGTGCCACCGCCTGTGGCAGCCCTGCCAAAGTGGCCAAGGGGCTGACTGCCCCTTTAAAAAGGTTGACCCAAATGTGTGCAAATCTGCAGGCTGTTTTTGTCTTTTGGCATTTCTATGTGCATAGCTGAACCTATGCAAGGGTGGAGAGGTGCACTTGCATGGGTCCAAAATTGGGATGCCACAGCCGGGTGATGTCCTGGAGGGTTCATGCTGTCCAAATGCACCCAGAGAAGGCCCAACTAGGCGTTTCTGTTTTCTCCTAAGAGCTGTCAGAGTAGAGGGTGAAAGAATGAAAAGTGCAAGGCCTTTACGACATGCTACAGGTGAGTGTGACCGCATCCCATGTTCAGCAGGTATTTTAGCACTAACAGTGACGTTTTGATTTTTAAAGGAAGTTCTGCATTTCCCAAGGGCAGTCTATCAGTTTGTCATACTACTGCAGTTCCCACTAAGATGATAACCTCCTCTGCCTGGGCTGCACTGCCTAAGCTGGAGCTTACTGACTCATCACCCATACATAAAGTTCCCTGTACATAGAAAATTAGCACCCACCTCCACCCCATCTTCAGATGTCGTCATCTTGCTGCCTAGTGGACTGGTCCAAATAGGGAGATGCCGAAGGGCAAGATCTGAAACCAGGTCTGGGGAGCACATCCATTGGGAGTGGGTTCGTTTGTTTTATTTAAAGCATCTTTCTCTCTGTACTCCACCAAAGAAAGAAGAAAAAAACCTCCAGAGCAGCACTAAAATTTCTGTAGGTAGTCCCTCCTGCAGGTTTACAACCTAGAAGACATGACGCAGGAAGAACAAAGGATCGGAAAGAAGGATGTTCAGGCACCAGTACTTCTTAACATGAACAGCTGGGGTGGAAACCATGAAGGCCGGAAGGTGGAGGATGACTGGAAAGGGCCAAAGGCAGCTGTTGTCTCAGCAGAGGTGATGGAATAGTCCTGCTTTGCTTGTGTTGATCTCCTTGCACTACATTGATTATAGTCATCTCATTTGCATCCAATGGAGAATTAAAAGTTTCTGTCTCATTTGAGACAGGGTTTTACAGTTCCCCAAAGGTGGATTCCAAGCTTTGGCCTGAAGAACACGGCTGGATTTGCTATACCGTTTTTCTGTGAGCTCTTGCAAATAAGGCAAAAGAAATCTGTGCTTTATAATAACATTTGCTTTTGGAGCACCTGTTCTAAACTTGGCTATTATATTGTTAGGGTTTGTTTGGGTTTTGTGTAGTGCTTGTATATTTGACTTCCATATGTTTTCCAAATTCAGCTGTGCTGGCTATCAGTACGATTTGATGTTTTTATTTGCCATATTTCTAATTCCTGGGGGCAGCTCAGCAAGTATCCTGCTGGGACTACTAAATAACTTATGTGCAAGCAAATGTGTAGGAGAGTTGCTTGTAAATCTTTAATAAAGATAGTGATTCCAAAGCTGCAAGTGAACAGAGTATGTTTAAATTTTGTGCATCCTATTTAAAAAAAAACCATTCCTGAAAAGATACAGACAACTCTGAGAGTGACACAATAGGAACAATATGTTAGATTTAACTTGGGGAATCTGCATAGCAGCCCCATTCAAAACTGGAGTCTGTAACAGCTTCTTCAAAGTAAATATGGAAGCACCTGGTGAGTTGAACATGGGGCTTCCTTGGTCTGGTTGTAAGTCTAGAATGCCATCCCAAGTGTACAGTAGGGGTTGGGTCCAGAGTTAGTCATGCTTAGAATAGGCCCACTGAAATCAAGGGATCATATCCAGTGTTAGTCTAACTTAAGTTCTTATTATTGTTCTTCTATTTAATTATTTCTGTTCTGAGCAATAGCTGAAACTTGCTGGATGGTTCTCAACAATTTTTCAAAAACACAAAGGATACAATAAACATACAGATACAAGTACAGCAAATAAAATTCCAATATGAAAATTGGAAAAACAGCTTAAATTTCCAATATACAAAAAGTATAAAACAATTTGAACATCAAAAGCAATTTCAGCAATACTAGACCTAATTAAAACTGTTGACATAACCCATCATATGTTAATAAATGCTTTGGAACAGAGGGCAGTTTGAACCTGATGCCAAAAAGATGGCAGTGTTGGCACCAGGCAGATCTCCCTTGGTTGGGAGATCATTCCAAGTTCCATTTATTTTAATGGCAGTACTCTAAGTTGGACTCTATTGTATAAAACCCAGGGGTGCTTATGTAAATCACTCGGAGAGCTTCAGCTTTGGGGCGGTCTAGAAATAAATACACATTACTTAGGCTTGCATCAGACTCTGAGTCTTGGTTCCATAGCACTAGTTAAATCTACACTTGATGTTTCCAGAAAGAAGTTCAGTAAGGGGGATTATTTGAGGAGGTTCACATGATCCATTTATATGTTGCAGTTCATTAATTTCAAATGGAGTCTAGTTAAATATCCAATGTCCCCTTGGCAAGAGGCCAGACAGTTTCTTTGGAACTGGCAGGTGCTGCTGAAAAATCCAATGGGAAGCAGGGTGGACCTGTTCAACTCATGGTGGTCGCCAGTGGCTCTCTAAGGTACATCCAAAGACTGTGAAATACGCACTGTGCAGAAACGCATGTATGGATGGTGCTCTCTTAGCTTGGCCTATCCCAGAGCGGTCGTGGAGTCTGGACTCAGCTGAAGGCTGGACTTACAAGGCATCCAATGCACAGGCTGTAAATACTGATATTCTCCATTCTTTGCTGTACTGAGTGCCTTGGAAACATTCCTTGCATTGTCCGTTTCTAATGCTAGCATTGCCGTCCTGTAAGAAAGGACTGGTTTCAGCTGACTGGGTGCCGACTGTCCCCAGCAACTGCCTTATGCAGAACACTGTCGAGGGACGTGGAAGTTCCATGCAGCCCTAATGGTATGCAGAGCTATCAAGAATAGGAGAATTACAGGAAAGAAACATGATGGCTGCCTGGAGCAACGCTGCCACCAGTGGCAAGGCCACCATAGTTTGGCCACAGTTTGCCCCATTGCATATCCCCAGCATCCCCACCTATGAAGAGTGACGGACTTGAGAGTTCTAGCTTAGCTCAAATGTATGTGCGCATCTGAAGCACTTACATGCATTGTCTGCAATTCTTACAGTGCCCCAATTAGATAAGGTCTCCACTTTTAAGCATCCCAGCTGCCTCCCATGCATCCCACCCCTTTGCCCAGCAGCAAGATCCTCCTGGGAAATGCCACGGTGTTTAGGACAAGGGGCTTGGGATGTCTTTGTAATATTTTCTTTGTGTATCAACATACAACAGAGCCTACATGGAGGCATTTTGACTCTTGCGATTCACAGAAAAGTTCTGCTAATCCTGAATCAGGATGCAGACAATTCCACACCCCACGTACTTCCTGTACCATCAACTCAACGCTCCACAAGAGACTGTATATTTATTTTCCAATATTTTACATACCACCCCACGTGCATAGGTTCTGGGCAGTTCACAAGAGATTAGAACCAACAGTAATTAAAATTTTGACAAGAAAGCAACATATGAAATAAAACTAGCGTGGGAAGGCCTGTTGGAAGAGAGTCTTCTTTAGCTCCCTCTTGAAGGTAGCAATCTGGAATATCAGATGCATCTCTTCCAGAAGGCCATCCTATAGCACACATTCGATTCTTTTGAACTCTGCTAGACACATTCACAATAAACACGAGTCATTATTATCCCCACATTGCAACAAGAAGGCTGCATTTCAGAGGCAGTAAGAACCGGAGCACCGAAGCTGGTTTTCTGCTGCACCATGCTAAAATGCTGAAGTCTTAGTTTAGGAAACTTGTGTGTCCAGTAGGAACAATAGGTTTTTCACCCCTCCATCTCCACTACCGCTTCAGTTCTAGCTGGTGAGAGGTAGAGAGTTTGCTTTTGGACATGCAAGCGCCGTCCCCAGGGGCGCCTGGTGAGTGAGAAGCACCATCAAACCCATCTGCCTGTTGTGTGTCCATCAGACCCAGGTTCAGCCTGTTCAGCTTCCAGGGGTGTATCACATGCTTGAGATAACTTTGGGGGGCTCAGCATCAGTTTCACTAAATAGTATTCCATGTAGAGTGATGTGCACACAGAATTTGCTGGTGGGAATTTGTTCTGTATGGATGAATTGGCTCAGAAGGCAGTGTGCATTCATCAGTTGTGCAAACAGCAGCAATACCACTGAATAATTGTCTATAACTTAAAAAAAGAAGGTTTCCACCACATCTGATTTTGCCCCTTCCTCCAAACGCCATCCCAGGATCCCTTCTGTGCTGTGATGAGCTGGATATTTCCAACAGAATTGCTCAGATGATATCAACAAACAGCAGGATCCTCAAGAAAGGCCCTTGCTTTGAAGGGCTGCTTCACTTGCGTAGTCTGGTGTAGGGTGACGTTTGATCCATCCTAGGAAACAAGAAGACTGCAAATCAACAATTCCGTCCCTGCAAATAAGCAAAAAGAGCTTGTGGCAGCTAATCTTGGGCCAGCGTCAGAGGAGAACTTACGAACCACTGTTCCATGGGAAGGAGGCAATGTGCTCATCCCCTAGTGCAATTTATTTTGCCAGCAGGAACAAAGACTTAGGCAAGCTAGTAACACTTGCTAGTGCAACCATTTTCTCAGGGCAATTTTAAAATATACAGCTATTAGAACAATGGCCGTATTTTCATGTTGTCCAATTTATGTATGTCCATGGCCATAACTGCATGGCCATAGGCTGATGTAACAATTGGTTAAACAAGAAGACTTCCTTTCTTTTGTACATGGTTTATCATCTGCATTTGTCCTTTTTGTTTTGCTTTTGCTTGCAGAATAAAATATTTGTCTGTTTTGGTTTGATAAACATCTTGCATGGACAGCCTTGCTTGCTGTTCCCCTCAAGAGCCTCAGGTGTTTAACAAGTAAGGCGTAATTCCCCCAATCAATAACTTTCGGGAATTGGGGCCTGGAGCTGTGAAAGACACTTTCTGTACATCTCTTTCATCCCCCTTTTTGGTGAGACACCCAGATTTGAACATGTCATTCTGCAGCTTCCTTAGTAGCTCTATAGCTTTGAGGACCTTTGAGAATAGTCATTATAGCTTTGAAGATAGTCCTCAAAGTCATTATAGCTTTGAGGACCTTTGAGGATATGCAAAAAATGAAGGATGGAGAGTGTCCCATGCTGCCTTCTGAAATGTCAAGATGTGGAACTATGGGCAAGAAAGAGCACTTCCCACATTTCTATTTTACACTGAATCAAACCATGGGTCCATCTAGCTCTAGCAAACAGCACAAACCATGGTGCAGGTTCTTGACTATGGTTAGTACAAGCCATGGGGTGAACAGTAAGTGGGTGGGTTTGCCCAACATGGGAAGCTATGGTTTTCGCAGGGAGAATCAACCAGCTGTTCTAATGTTTCCACACTTCACCACAACTTCTCCAGTCATCTGGACCCATTTTACCACTGTTGGTATAGAAACACCATGGAGTTCTCTGGCTACTGTGGCCATATCTAGTCTTTGCCCTCTACTGCCCTGACCTTCTTAGCCACAGATCCATCATTCCTTCCTTTATTCCCATTGGCCAAGCAATGTGTCCATTTCCCCTTTTACTTTTGAAACTGGGATACATCACAAAAATATACTGGTTCTAAAAAGTAATATCAATACTCTGACTTTCCATCCTATGCTTCTTCTGTCCTGCCTGTACCTTCAACAATGCCCGACAGCTTTTATGAAACAGTGACTAGGTAAAGGAGAAGGCTTATCCAACAAACCCTCCTTACTCTTGGACACTATGGCTTACCTGCCAAAGGAGACTCCTCCCTGTGAAATAGCTAAGCAAACTATAGTTCAGTGTGATGTTAGCCCATGGCCTGGTTCACATGTAACATGAGGCCATTCTGGGTTAATTTCCCTGCAGGAGTTGTGGGGGCAGTGGCCAGCAGTCTGACTATCTGGGGTGCAACAAAGGTTCAGCAAAGCCTCCCATGATGTCCAAAATCAGGAAGGTCGGGTTGCTGGAGTGTTTGACAAGCCATCCACAAACTGTGGACTACTATATGGTTCTGGAGGGTTGTTGACTACCCTAACAAACCACCCTCACCAAGTTCACATGTAGGAGAAGCTGTGCCACACCCCGGACATGCAAAATGCCACCCACCTACCCTTACCGCAACTAAAAGCAGACCAGGTCCTGACTGAGGAATGCTATCCTTCCCTGTAGCTTGGCTCTGAGGTTGAGTACCATTATTTTGGTAGAAAGGTAGGACATAAGTCAAGAGAAGGACCTCAAGAATAATTCAGATCTGGCAGTAATCAAGAGGAGGAAATGTTTCCACCCAGGAGGAGCAGCACAAAATCTGAGAGCCACTAACCATGTGCTTTGGCCCCCTCATGTGGAGAGTCGCTGTACCACAGCAGAGCCTTCCAAGACACTCGCCCTCCGGCTGATCCTAAACCTGAACTCAATGTCAGAAAAAATCCCGAGATGTGCAGCATGGTATTGTGGCACCGTGTGCACTGGAGGCCTTGCCTCATGGAAGCGATGCAGAATGCCCCGTACAAGGACACGCAGGAGGGTCCACTGGAAGGTGTGACCAAATATCTAGCCAAGCCCTACGCAGTTCTTGAGTGCTAGCAGTGGTTGCAGGGAAAAGCGTCCGATGGAGGAATTTCCAGTGGTTTCCACACAAACTCTCAGGTTACAGAGAAGGACACCGCTCAGTGACTGCAAGCACACTTTGCACGCAGAAGGTCCCAGGTGCAAAGCATCTCTCTGCACGAAGGGAAGTCCTGCCTATGTATTTAATGAGCAGCTGGGCTAAAGACAGGCCCAGAGGTGTGGCTTCCTCAAGCAGGGGATGCTGGGCATGGGTGGCAGCTAGGGAGGAATGGGCACTCTTGTCTGCATTTTGTGGAACACCAGGTCACTCTCATTCTGTTATCCATCCATTTTTTGGACTCAGATTTTGTTCACAAATTTGCACTCCAAAACAGCACAAATCCCCCACGTGTATTTCATGCTTAGGCTTATGGGGAAAATAAGCATTTTTGGTTGGTGTAGGTTTCCTCACCCCTGTTTTTTAACAATTAAATTTGCATATCATTGCAGAAAGTGTTGGGTTTTTTTAAACTCCACATGTCCCAGAACTTGCACTACTTGGGAAAAGCCAGTCCACTGTGGAATCTACAGGTCATTCAAACGCATTTGATTTTTAAGCAATCTACGAAATCAAATGAATTCAAACACATTGCAGATTTTTCCAACATCCCTCGCGAGGTATTGAACAAAAATGGTCTGAGGCAGCTTTCTGCTGTCAAGTCTCGTAATTCCGATCTGTATTTTAGACAGCCAGAAACAGAAGTTTCAGCCAAGTATTTCTGAACTCCTCTTTGAGCCTCTTCACCCAAAATGCTCCAGAAAACTCATTTCTCCTTCTTTCCATACCAGAAAGCAGAACAATTCCAAAGCAGATGGGACTGCTTATTAATAACGAAGAGGAGTAAATCTAAGTGGCTGGTGCATAACAGACTCCCACATGCTCTATAAGAGGCAGACAGAAGGGTGGGCAAGATGCAATTCAAATAGTGGCCCTCTAGACTGACTAACAACGTATCGTAATGCTGGAATCTTCTTCAGCAGAGGAGCTGGCACTGAAAACACACCATGAGCCAAAAGGCCAAGACGCATGTAACAGCCATCCACCTGGCGGGCCTGGGGACCATCTCTGTCACCTCCATTTTCTCAATGGAAGCCAAGCGTAAGGGGATTTTAACGACAGCTTGCGGGCTGCTTCCAGTGTGTTGCAATTGGGCAAGTCTATTTTATTCAAATAGCATTTGTGGAAAACAGCCCGCTTCTGTTTGCTGGAGAAGGCCAGCCGAAATGACAACATAAACCATGGTCTTTTAGCAAGAAGAGTATCTGTTTTGGGTGCCTACAAATGGAGCATGTGACAGCTAAGAAATCTATCAGTTCTGAAAGGTCCTGCCACTTCACCTTGAAAAAACAGGACTTGGTGTCCAGGTCACCTGCTCTTTCCTTGCTAGGGTTGGTGGAGAGAATGTAGAATGCAGGGGTTTTTCTGTTCTGCCTTGCACAGTCCCTCCCTCCCACAGGTAAGAAGATCTTTAGGGAGGAGCCGCAAGCCAAGGGTGGCATCTGATATGAGATGGCCCTTGGCTTAGCAGCAATGATGGATCCCCCTCAACACTGACTTGGTTCTGGCTACCGTCCTTCCCCCAGCCTCCCTCTTCACTAGAGTAGCCCCTTTTGCACTGCCAATGCTGAGGACCGAAAAGCAGTCCCTCTTGTTCGTTGTCTGACCGCAAGAGAGACGGGCAGCGCCAGCAAATTGTTTTATATTTTAAAAGACTCTTTATGGTTAGGTACACACACCAGCAATGCAGAAAGAGCCTGCCTCCAGTCAGAACTAGCTGCCACAGTCATCAAATTTACGGAAACATATTGCTCAACACTGGAAAAGTGAGGAACTACCCACTGATGAACTGATTCTAAAAAAGATTCTGGACTGTGCAGAAATGGATAGACTGACTTTATCACTGAAGGAGCAAGAAGATACTGACTTCTATCAAACGTGGGACTCTTTTTATTATTGGCTAGAGAAATGGGACTTGGCTTAGAAATGTTCTAATAAATAAATAAAATAAAATAAATGATCATAAATGGAAAAAGAAGGGTGTGGGGGCTGACCCAGCAGGCTCGATGTTTTTGATGATGGATGTTGTTCGTAATTTTCTTTTTGTCTTTGTTTTTTTTTTAGGATTATAATTTCAAATAAAACTTATTCCAAAAAAAAAAAAAATTACAGAAACATAGAAACAGAGTGAGTCAGAAGGGGTCTCCCGGGCCATCTAGTCTGACTCCCGGCTCCAGCTGGCTCCACTCATGACATGCCTACCATATGCATGTCCAGTCGATCCTTGAACATCCTCACTGATGGGGCCTCAATCACCTCCCGTGGAAGCCCATTCCACACCCTTGGGGTTCTAACTGTCAGGAACTACTTCCTGGCATCGAAATTGAACCTTGGTTCCCTGAGTATTGCTCTGTGGGAGCGCATTCTGCCCTCCTCTGCAGGGGAGAACAGGTCTCTATCTGCCTCCAAATGAAAACATCATAGCTTTTTGTACATGGTTATCTTGACCCACACTTCCTTTTAGGATATCTGGTATCAAAACATCTGCCTCCAGGCTTATCTTGACAAATTCTGAGCTTCTTGATAGAAGTCTATTCTGGATTTTTGACCCTCTTGTGTCTACCTCTGATGGAACTCTAAGTAACAGACCCTCATTTGATCATCAGGAAAAAATTATATTCTTTACTAAGAAAGAGAAAACGTGTTGTCAAGGCATCTGTTCCCCCGCCCTCACCAGACCCCTTGTCTTAGCAGCCTGTAAAGTTCCATTTCATAAGGCTCAGCCCTGTATGCAGTTGCTCAGTCCCTGAATGCATTGTCTTGCCCATCCCAGGCTTCAAAGCTGCAGCAAAGTTCTCACTCAATGGACCCTGCTGCATTTGGACAAAACTTCATTCCTGAGCAGAAAAGTCAAAGCAAATTGTTTCCCACTAGCTCACAACTGGCAACTAGAAACCACCTCTGATTAGCTAAAGTCTTTTGCGTATAAAACCAGGGGCTGGTGGGAAATGCCATCGGCTTTAATTTCTCCATCCCAGTGGTAGATCTGGATGGTTTCCCTTGAGATCCTGTTCTATGGACGACCCATGCCTTGCTTCGTATGGACAAATATGATCGGTTTTGTTGTTTGTTGCTCTGGTTCGGCTGTTTTGAATATTATCCCTTTTCCTTTTCCCTCCTTTAAAAAAAACAGACTTACCCCCAATCAAAAGTGCTGTATGTAACTTATTCCAATTGAGTCTTGGTGGTAAGAGCAAGGCTCTCAGCTTGGTTCGTGCTACTGTTAAAGATTCCAGGCTTAGGGCTTTGAAACAGCAAGTCCTGGCTTGGAGCCTCTTTTCCTTTGCTACTGATCAGAGTTCCTAAGACTTAGGGCTGCCCTGTAAGGTCCCAGAATCCCCTGACACAGGCTAACTTGGACAAAAGAGCTGGTGGCATTCAGCCTAAGCAACGTTTTGGTACTTCTGCACTGGTGGAAGTTAAGATGGCCTCCCTTTATATGCATCAAAACGAAATGAAGACAGTGACTTAAGGTCATGCGCATCTATGCAAATACAGAATTATTATAATTTAAATGGAATCATAGAACAGTAGAGTTAGAAGGGGCCATGAAGGCCATCGGGTCCAACCCCCTGCTGCTGCAGGACACCAGTCTACACCGTCGCACCCAGAAGGTTGTCCAGTCACTTTTTGAATGTCTCCAGTGTGGGAGAGCCCACGTGAAGCACATGCCACCAAAATGTGGAAGAAAGTGATTGGGCAGTACGTGCATGTAGCTGGGCAGCCAGGTGTGCCCAGGTGTTGATGGTGGGTGAACAACAGTTACTATGGTCCCTTATCTCTGAACTAGAATTGGACAAAACAGTTCTTTTGATAGAGGACCCCTTCAAGCAGAGGACTGTCTCTGTAAAAGGGGACACGTGGCCGTCCTGACTTGGGTCCTGAGCTGGCACTGGCTCAGAGGTTGTTTTGGTAGGGGACGGGGCCAAGGAATGGAAAAAGTCCGCTTCCCAAAGGATATATGTTAAGGATTCTTAACATGAAGTTTCTGAATCACCACAAAACAGAAAGGAAAGTGAGACTTACTTTGCAGAAACTGCTTTGGAGACCTTTGTTTTTGACTGGCCAGAGTAGAAGTCCACTTTGTACTGCAGTTCTTTGTTCTGGAGGCATAGGAAAAATGTGTGAGCTTGCTTCATTTGAGTGCCACATAATAATGCGAGAAGAGAGGTGTCCTCACCCACCCCATTTATCCAAGCGGTTTGTATAATAGCAGACTTTTTCACCTAAGGAACAATTGGGATACAGAGAGGTTTGCCCTTTGCCTAGTCTTACAAGGACATAGGATTCTCTAGCCAAGGGCCAAATGCTGAATTTAGAAAATGTACATTTCAATCATGGAGACTTCTCCCACAAGATCCCAAAGTGGGCCAGATTCATTGGAATCCCCCTCCAAGTTGTAGACTCAGGCATCCAATCCCGCCCCTTGCCCCAGCCTCCTCACAACTGTTGCAGGAAGTACCGTGTCGGATGCTTCCTAAAGTCACAAGGAAAGGGGTGTTTTGGGGGCTGGAGAGGGTCTCCCCTCGAAGCACTCTAAAACCATGTAAAGGCTCAAAGTTCCCTCTAAAGGGGTCTGTGCAACCTATTTTTGCAGTAATCTGTAATTTAAACAAGACCTGCGCCAAAAATGTGTATTTCAAGACTGCTTTGCAATGGTATTCCTAATATATTCTCTCACAGCAAAGGCTTTTCTGTATGTACTTTGAAACTTTAAAGCTGCAGGGAAAAATTCCTGCATCACCAGAGAAGTGCAAAAACTGGTGGGAACGTGAGTGTTGATCCAAGAAACTTAAGACAATCCAAGAGATACAGTGAAGGGCCACTAGGATGGTGGCTGGTTTGCAGGGTAAGCCCTAGAAGGAGGCTGGGTCTTTTCAGCCCTGAGAGAAGGAGACTCAGAGGGGACCTGTTAGCGACACGCAGGCACACAAGGGGGGGCCATGCAGAGGTGGGTCGTGACTTTTCCCCCCTGCAGAGGAAGGCAGATGCATTCCAATGGAGCAAAGCTCTGGGAACCAGGATTTCGGGTGGATGCCAGGAAGTACTTCCAGATGGTTATTACTCCGAGGGTGTGGAATGGGCTTCCACGGGAGGTGGCTGAAGCCCCATCAGTGAGGGCATTCAAAGACAGGATGGACATGCACATGGTAGGCGTGTCATGAGTGGAGCTGGCTGGAGCTGTGGGTCAGACTAGATGACTCAGGAGACCCCTTCTGACTCACTCTGTTTCTCTGTTTCTAAGAGCTGCAAGTCAATAAGTGCATCCTGAACTCCGGGCTGCATTTCACAGAGGTCATTTCAGAGTTCAGGCATTCTCTGGGGGCATCTCTGTCTAAATCAGCCACATTCCTACTTGAACGAATGCAGGCTTGCCACAGTCTTCCACGCATTGTCTGTTGCCGCCCAGGCCCAATTCAAAATGCTTGCATTAACAAAGGAAGCCCTCCACAGCTTGAGGCCAGGACATCTGAAGGGATGCCTGTTTCCATATATCCCTACCAGACGCTTAAGACCTTCTCTGGATGCCCTTCTGTTTCAATCCCCCCACCTACCCATGAAGTAAGGGGGAAAAGGACAAGGCCTTTTTCTGTTACCACACCTCATCTCTGGAATGCCCTTTCTAAGGGGGCACCCCATTGCTCAGTCTCTATGCCCTACTTTTAGTATAATGTATGGCTTTTTATGGCTTTTTTCACTGCTTGCTTTTATCTGTATGTGCATTTGCCTCCTGTTTCCATTGGAACTATTCATTTTTATGTTGTTTGGATGATGATGATGATGACATGTACTGATTTTATTTTTTTTATTGTTTTTATATTGTTTTATTTTATATTGTTGTGTTGTGAGCCATCCAGAGAGCCCAAGAGCTATGGGGCAGCATACAAGTGTCATCAATCTATCTATCGATCGATCAATAGGGATCCCTGCCTGGTTTCCACTAGCACTCTGGGATCCCCCAACCCCAACCTTTGTATCTGAGGTGCTACAACCCAGTTAGCCAGATAAAGGCCTGGAGCTTCTTTCAGCCTGCAGCAACACACTGAAACCCCACTGGTCCAGGATAGAAGGCCTTGTGCATCCAGAGAGCAAGGCTCACACGCAATCCTCATGCAGCTTTTTGCACAAGAGTCTTCAAGCATTGAGCTTCGCTTCTGTGAGCTACACTGGAACTGGGAAACATCCAGGAGTGGGAGCGACCTGCACCAAGACCCGGCTGGGTCACACCCCTGCCACTTTAGTGCTGCTGGATGCTCTGTTTCACACCAAGGCATGAACACTACTCCCCTTGAACTTTGTTTGGAGGACAAATTGGTTTGTTTTGCCCTGCAGTTTGGGCAGCAGGGGTGTCTGGGGGCAAGTGTCCCATGGAGCTTACGTCCGTATATGCCCGACCGCCCTTTGAGATCTGCGGGAGAGTCCCTTCTCCGGGAACCCTCCATGAAAGAAATTAGGAGAGTAAGTACTCGGAGGAGGGCTTTCTCTGCGGTGGCGCCCAACCTATGGAATTCACTCCCCAAAGAGGTCCGCCTGGCACCGTTGTTACTGGTTTTTCGGCGCCAGGTAAAGACCTTTTTATTTAAACATCATTTTAATTGTTAAAATATATGATCTGGCCAGGGCAACTTCTTCTTCCTTCTCTTTTCTCCTCCTATATTTTTATTTACTTATTTTATTTTATACTGATAATTTTAATTTTGTATTTGTAACTCAGTGTATTTTTTGTATTTTTGTATTTAATGGTAATTTATTATGTTCTATTGTATTTCAATGTATTTTATTGTGTTGTAAGCCGCCCCGAGGCTTCGGCAAGGGGCGGCATAGAAATGTTATAATGTTATAATAATAATATCATCCCCCCTCATCCGAAGCCACCCAGGCCAGAGTTCCTGTGACTCGGCCACCCCTTTACCTTTGCTTGGAGTATCTCGATCTTTTCTTTCAGGAGTTCTATTCTCTCATCTTGGTATTTTAGTTCGTTGTTCAGTTCTTCAATCTAAAATCATTTGGAGAAGAAAAGGAGTCACAAAAATTGCTAGGTGCGGTTTTCGTTAAACCACAACCATGAAACTAGGAGATTCCCCTGCGTGGGAGGTAGCTCTTTGGGTAGATCTCTACGCTCTCCACTTGTTTGTGAGGAGTGGTGCACAAGGCGTGTGTTGATCGGAGCAACAGAAAAAAAGCGAGCACCCAGAAAAGTGGGGAAGGCATTTAAAGCAGCTCAGCTTTCCTGATAGCAACATCCCCACTTTGTCAGCCAGCTGCAAAATTCAGACATCACTGGCTAAATTCAAACCACAAAATGTACATCTCCAGCTTCACCTGAACAAGAAAGGTGCATGCTAGCAGCCACCCAATCACCAAATCCATTCCTTCCACTTAAGCAAGACTTCTCTACTAATCAGAGATGATTTAGGAAGCAACTCCTGGCTATTCTCACACAACCTTTTTCTAACTCTCTTAAGAACCTGCATTTCGAGCAAAACAGTATCACATAGTACCACAGCACACCTAACAAACCCAAAATACGTACCTAACACTCCCCCAAAAAGATTGAAGACATTCTAAATTGGTTTCATGATGCAAAACTAAGACTGAAATCTTATGCCACTTCACTCAACACAGTGAGGCTTAATTTTAAACAAAAATGTGCAAGATGGCCCCAAAGAGGTGGACTTGCTCATGCAGCAAACAAAAAAAAAGAAGCAAAAACAAAATATATGGAGTTATTTTGGCAAGCTTTGTCAAAGCAAAAAGAATTAGCAGAAAATCCTGCAGGAAGAAGTGTCTTCCTTTGATCCAAACAAATGAAACCAGTAGTATATGTGTTTGACGTTGCGGCCAACCACGTCCCTTTCTAGAATATGCCATTCCGTTCTATTTCCTCCCCTGATTTTTCATCCCACACGAAGCATCAGCCTTCTCTGCTCACTGACCATGTTCAGTCCTTAATGCGAAGCTTCTGGGAATTTTCCATCTTCATGCTATTTTTCCAGAAGCATCTGTGTAGCGTGTGCTTCTGCTTAAACATGCTGGTACCTCCCTTTTGAGCTAAGATTGTGCCATTTGGCTGCATAAATGGATCATGACTTTGCTATTAGTATACAGAATTACAGGACTCTAACCTGGTGAATCAAACTGTGCAAGTTTTGATGCTGGGAATGAATGACGTGATCCAAGTGGCTAATTTGTTCCTGAAGCGTGGAGATCTCTGTTTGAACCCTTACACAGCTGGCAGAGACGAGAATAAAAAGTGAGAACATGGATATATTGGAAAAGCAGTCTAGGATTGAATGTTATGGATGCAACCCCTTCTTATTAGCTGTAAGAACCCCAGCCAGGATATTTCCTGTGAATTGGACCCGCTTTGGAGCACTGTTGGACTAATACTTCTGGAGTCCCTGGTCTTACTGCAGCTTCCACGTAGGGAAGCAAGCTTGTGGAAGCACCCTGCAGATGATGCAATTGCTAATTAGCAATAATTGAGACTCACCCAGGGCATTTCTGGGGATGTGAGGCTACCAAAGAAGAGAGTCTGCTCAGCTCCATCCAGATGCTTGATGTGGTCTCATCAGGCTCAGCAGGCCCCTGCACCCCATTTAATTAGCTGCTGCTTCTATGGGGAAAAGCTGAGTGTGATGGCATGCCACATCCGCTCTGTCACTAGACATTACTCGGGCTTGGTGGCAACTCATCCCCGTTGCAATGCCTACTTTGGGCCTAAGATGGTCTTCTCCAGCATGGAGTCATGTTGGCTGGGAGTGGTGCGAGAGCCATCTGAACCTACCAGGACGGCACCAGGTTTGGAAAAATTGGTCTAAGTGTGCATTTCCTTCAATTAATCAAACAAGCAGGATTGAGCCTTGTATCTCTTTGCTGTCTGAATTTGTGCAGGCACACTCACTGCAAAAATTAAGCTTAAGTGCCACTAAAGCACACACACAAAAGAACTATCACTGGAACACCAACAAACAAACAAAAACCATGGGAGCCCTTCAGGGGTTTGTTCAGGAAATAAATGTGTTTCAAGTGGAAACCTTTTGTAGGGTAGATGCTGTAAAAGAGCTCTCGTCGTCAAACTGAAGACATATTCTGCAATAGTTCTTCAGCCAACCTTGGATGGCCCTTGTGTTTTTGTCCTTTTGTCGGAGCAAAAGCAGACAGAGGGAGAGACTAAATCAAAGGGGAAGTCCCAATTCTGCAGTAGCCGTTGATCGCCCTCCTGCCTCCGGGCGATCAAAGGCTGGAGTCACCCCACACATTCAGAATAATTGTGGGTCGCTGTGGACTGCCCTGTTGAAGATTGCATGTTTGAATGCTTCCCTTTTGGAAAAATATATCAATTAAATTACCAGGGTTGATCTGGACTTGGAGCAGGCCCATTGAAAGCAATGCAATCCAGGTTAGCAACCACTAAGTTGGGACTCATTGATTTCAACAGGCATCCTCTGCAGCCAAATGAGTCTGGATCCCACCCAAAATATTCAGGGTAGGTTTTTTTTTTTTAAATCCCTAAAACCAATTAGTAGAAAGATTCAGCCCCGCAACTGTTGTGTATGCACACTCTGGGAAGATTTCCAGGTGCTCATGAGAGACGGCCTGTTTTGGTGGGACTGCCAGCTCAGATGCTGAGGATGATGTGGAGATGGCTGAACCAGACAAGGCTCAGAGCTCACACTGATAATGGAACCGTTGTAACAAACGGCCCTGTAGCAGACTCCCTCCTGCAGTACCGGTCTGATCCTGCTCTGGATGAAAGTAGCTCAAGGACACCCACGGGGCCCAGTCTCCCTCCTGCCTGTGGGAATGAGGCAGACAAAGGATGGGAGGGGGATGGAGAATACAAATACTGAGGGCCCACCGGCACGGCCACAGGCTGGCCCAATTAGGGGCTCAGAGTGCAGAACACAGGTGCGTCCCATTCCACGGTGCCCCTCCTTCCAGAGGCAGGCCCCGAAGGGTTCATAAGCAACGCTTTGGGTGAAGGGGGGCAGAGAGGGGTCAACACTTCTCCTTGGGGATGCTCAGAGACTTCGATTTCCTGTGTAGAATAAAGATGCTTACAAGAAGTGCTGGAGAGACTGTCTTGCTCGGGAGGGGATGCCTAGCTCACAACATCCTCCTATTTTGGAGTCCCCCCACTTTGAAGTCTGGATGGGTAAAGCCCCAGCTATGATGCTTCGAATAACCACTCTGAATTGTGAGTGTGCAGGGGGCTCTAAGAGAAAGCTCGCACAACCCCAAGGTGCATGGCTGTATACGCAGGGGAGCGCAGGAGCCAATGTGCAGACAAGCATGGGATCCGGCCAGTCACATGTGATAGCTGTACACAAACCGCATCTCATTCTTGCCAAAATCCTCCCCTTTTGTGGGAGAGGTGTTGTGTGCTGTGATGGGCTACGTTTGCAGGCACGATCTATGTGGAATGGAGATTACATCCTACCAGACCCGGGGCACTGGGGGAGGGCTGCATTCCTAAGCAAACCCTGAGAAAACTGGCTTTAGAAATAGGCAGTGGCAGAGGACCCAACAACCCACACTCAAGGGCGGACTGTGGGTTGAGAGTGGCTTGTTGTTGGATGCACTGAGCTAACAAGCCATGGCTTGTTAATCAGAAGCACCCATGAAGAGAATCCGTGGTTTGTTGAGGGGTTGCGAACTGTAGGTTGTTCATCATGGTTTGTTATCCTGGCTAGGTTCAAACAATGTGAGAACCCGCATTTCATAGAATCATAGAATGGTAGAGTTGGAAGCGGCCAAGAAGGCCACTGGGTCCAACCCCTGCTGCTGCAGGACACCAACTTCCACCATCCTACTCAGAGGGCTGTCCAGTGTCACCCTGTATGTCTCCAGTGTGGGAGAGCCCAGCACCTCTCCAGGCAGCTGGTTCCACTGTCCTATTGCTCTGACAGCAAGGGAACTTTTTATCAACAACCACTTTGGCTGCTGAGGAGGCACAGAAAACAAACAAACAAACAAATACACACACGATTTGATGGCAATGCACACCCAACTCATACTCAGCCTCTGCGTGTGGGTTATGCAGCTTGAATTCAGTCAATGGCTCAACTCAGAAGGAGCTGGTATCACTATTTAATGACAACTATTTAATTCACTATTTTCAATTTTAATTTTTAAAATTAAAATCGGATCATGCCAGATTGTCATTGGACCATGTGACAGACCATGGCTTTTTTAAACAACGAAAGGCTAAATTGCAGATCTTGGTCCACACAAAGGGTAAGGAGTTGCATCCATACCTCATTATACTTAAAGTAGACCTATTGAAATCAATGCAATTTTACTCAAGCTTGACTAATGTTCAAACGAGTTCATTGCGTCTACTCTAAGTATGATTAAATCTGAATCCAACCTATAAAATATAAAGAGTTCCTATTTCCTAGTAAGACGATCATACTGCCCTTTGTCATTTAAAAGCTGATAAATACCCATTAAATTCTACTCATTTTAAGCCGTGTGCCATTTTTGCAAACCTTTTAGTGTTTTCCGCTTTTGACATCATTTGGTGCAGCTTCTCCTTTAAAGACCGTTTCTTTTCGTTCAGCGTTTTCCTTTCCTAGGAAGCAACAAAGTCACATGGATTACACTCTGTGCCGAGTTTGGAGAAATACAAAACCGACATGATTTCCAAGGAAGGAATGAAGAAGGACAAAGCTCCTGTGATTCTACTATTGCTTGGATACATGTGTGAGTGGCTCTGTTCCTTTGACCGGGGCAGGAACAAGCAGCGTGGTTCTTTATCTCTATGCCTCTAGTTCAAAGATGGGAAACCATTGACCAATTGACCAGAGGATGCTGGGACTCTCATGCCAACCGCGCCAGGCGAAGACCTTTTTATTTAAATGTTATTTTAATTGTTAATATCATTTATTGATTTTACATCTTTGACCAGGATGGCTCCAATTATATTGTTTTATATTGTTATTGTTGTTATTTATTGTTGCGAGCCGCCTAGAGGCTTTGGCGAATGGGGTGGCATAGAAGCTTCCTAAATAAATAAATAAACCGTAGGTGGAGTCACAGTTCTCATATTCTGCCCCCTCCTGCACACACACATGCATTTTCACACAAAGAGATACAAGTTCTATTCTTCACACGTGTGCTCCATTCGTAAGCATACATACAAACACTCCAGTTTTCTCAAGTGCTTCGATTCCCATTCACCCTATTAAGGTACAGAACCGCTCAAGAGGCAGAGCCAATCAGTTTGCACAATCTCCAGGCAATTGCCAGACCATAGATCATTTAAGGGTTGTTCCTTCCTCAAGCAAGCCAGGTTGCCTGGGTTTGGATGACAGTTTAATGTGGGCATCCTTCAGGAAGTGAGTTTTGAGAGCATTATGCCAATTAAATGGTACACAAATGCTTTAAATAAATGCTTTAAGTAAATTTCTGTACATGTGACTCGCGGACTTTGTGCGAAGAATTATGCAATTTGTATATTTTGCACAAAGAATGGAGTTGTTTGCAAATCTTGTGCAGAGAATGAAGGGCTTTGTGTGTCTTCTGCAAAGGATCACATCCTCTGCCTAACTTGTGCAAAGAAGTTGCTCGCATTCCCAAGTATGGGCAGACTTGATCCCAGCTCAGCCTGCTTCCTGGCCAGGGAAAGAAAGAATTTGGCAAGCACAAGGGAGCTGAATTCTGACCTTCTCATCCCTATTCACAGGACCTATCGTGTGGATAAGAGTGCTCCAAAGAAAAGATGGAGTATAGAATATGGAGTTCAGAATATATAGAGAGTATGGTCTCAGGAGTATAGAAGCATCAAGACTACCTCAAAGAAGCAAAGATTTAATAATTTCAATTTAAAAGGCTCCTTGCTTTGGCAGGGACTCCTTGGCTGAAATTCTGTTAACGGGATGCAATCCCTTTGGCTTCCATGTTAATAACAGAACAGATGGGGATGTTTGGATCTTTAACTAGTAGGTTCACTGCAATTTCTTGTCGCTAATCACTATTTACTGCAAAGAAGGTGGTGTTTGCTCACCGCTAACACTTGCGAATCAGCCGGGAAGGCTGGAAAGGGTCTGTAACAGAGTTTGCCAGGATGCGCAAATGATGACAAAGAAGAATGAAAATTGTAGGCGTTTGTACACAAACTGTTTCAAAGCTGTCACAAAGTGGCTTCCCTTCTGCCGTTTGCCCACAGAATAATAGGACTTTCTCGAAATGAAAAGGCCCCTCTTCATATCCACATCAGAAGATAAATTCTCAGTCTCATCTCTCAGTCTCACACATTATCTATCTTAATGAACGTGCACGCCCGCTCAGAGACGGTCAAGCAAGACTGCTCCTACTGGTAGGGCACCTGCAAACAACAGCAATTTTCTGAATCTGGTGCAGAAAGCATTGATTGCTGCTGATAAATATTCTCAATTGTTCTAATCTTACTGCCCGGAGTAGAAACAGAAGCCTCAATGAAACCTTTTATGAGAGTAATTCCAGTCAAGTATTAGAAGCCTTTTGAATCCCTGTAAAGATCTATGGTTAGCAGAGCGCCACATTGTTCCTTGATAAGAATCAGTCCATGGGTGTTACAACAAAAGTCCCAACCCTCCCTCGATCTGGCTGTCTGAATATGTCCCAGTAAGTCTGCAGTTCCAGAAAAAGCAGAAACCTTCCAAGTTGCCAGTTCACAGTTTCCAGCAAAGTCTACTGCCCATTGCTGTGCTCAAATACCGAGGCACAGCCACAACAGATCAGTTTTGGACATACGTTCCAGGCAGGGCAACCTGGCTCCCAATGGACACCTTTGTCCTGTCCTCTTTAGGTAAAGATGCACCAAGACACCATCTTCTGCAGGTATCTCCTCCTGCTTCCTTCCTCCCATGGAAGAGGTCCTGGATCAAGGTCAGGTTTCCTGGGTATAGAAGACAGGCTGTTCCAGAGTCCTGCATCTCCCTCCCTCCCTCCCAGCAAATCAGCTGCTGGGAGGCTTAGAAGAACTGCGTGCTGTGGTATCTGGCATCTCCCAGCTTGACACCTTCTCCCTCTGGCTCAGAACTGGTGCTGCAGCCTGTAGTTTCCACTGGGCTGCAACAGGATCCCACATGAGCAGGAAGCCAGTCTGAGATATGTGTAATCAGGCCAACGATAAGTTGCATGTAATGTGCAGCATGAATATAAATTTGCATTTGATTTTTAATGCATAGTTGTGGGAGGATAAAGGAAGTTTACATCAAGAACTAGGAATGCATTTTTCATGCAGTTCCAGATCGTCTAGCCTACAGCTACCAGGATCCCTCTCTATTAAAGATGCTGACTAGGGCTGATGGGAGTTGTAGGCCAAAACAACAGGCTGTAAATTGCTCACCCTCGATCTCGAACCTCGTGGGAAGAAAGCAGTTTTTGGAAGGGGGCTGCAGCTGTAAAGGTGGGATGTGAGCTGAATAAACCCTCCCCTGTTTCTCTGCACCAAGTCTGCCCCTCCCAGAATAGCTTCCCTTTGTTAAAAGGGAATTGGAGGCCAAATTGTGCCCAATTTAGGTCATTTATTCTGCTCACAGAAAACCTTCCCAGTTGCAGAATTTTGTTCCAAGGAGTACACAACCATATAAGGAAGTAAGGTCTATTGGAGCATTCTCTGGTGGATGACAAGTCTCACCTAGACTTGTATCACTGGAGATCCACCAGACTAACCCTAGCTCACCAGCCATGGACGATGACTCACCAGGAGCTTGACCAAAGGTCCAAGTTTTGCTTCCTGGCTGGGGACTTGTAAAGGCGGAGGCTGCAAGCTCGTTCACACAGAGCATGGGTAGTGAGCAGCATTCAGACTGGTGGATTAAGAGTTATGTAGGACTGATGGTCCAACCCTTTGGCCAGTGATGAAAAGGAGCCATAAGTGGCATTGGTCAGTGGGTCACCCGGGTTCCAGGTCCAACCTCTGACATCTCTAGTAAAAGTGGTATCAGTCAGCAAGATTAAGAAAGACCACAAACATTGGACAGCTGTTTTGGAGCTTCTGCCAGTTGGAGTCAAGAAAGCTGAGCTAGCTGAGCCAACAGGCTGATTCAGCATATGGCAATCTCACACATTCAAAGCAACATCTTCTGGTTTCAGCAGGAGAAAAGGCCTGGCCTTGATTATATGAAAGGCCACAAGCTTTTGGCTGTGAAAGATAATTGAAAAAATTGAAGCTTCACCCTTCAACCCAGTCTTTACCAAACTGGCACCCTGTCGAATTGCACGTACTAGTATTCCTAGTCAGTGTGGCAGAGCTGATGGGAATCGCATTCAAACAGCATCTGGAGGTTGCTGATTTGACAAAGGCTGTTCTAACACCTGGAAATAGAATTTAAGCAGTCCTTTGCCTTCTGTGATTTCATCCTTTAATTTGATGTAGTTTTTTTTAAGATGAAAACTTAAGGACCTTCAGAAACTTCTGCGCCCAGCAACATATTTTACTGTGTGTTCCACACCTGGTTCCCCCAAGGTTTCTGCAGAAAGGGCAGCCCACTCAGGTGTTTGATGCAGCAGATGCTCCAGCCTCACCTCTTCCATCCTTTGCACTCGTTTCTCCAGTTCTTCGATCCGGTTGTATTTTTCGTGCAATTGCACGTTCAGCCGGCTGAGATTGTCTGTGCTTTCTTTTAATTTTTGTTCTTGCTCAAGCTTGCGGGCCTGTGTGAGGGGAAAGACAGCAAAATGCCCAGGGAGCACAGGCTACAAACAAGCTTGCTGTCCTTCAGCAACATTTTTGTAAATCATTTGATCAGGGCAAGTTTGCAAACCTGCTGCTTTCTAGGGGGAACCTACCATTGGAGATGGGTTTGCGCCCAGGTGGGCGAAGTGTGTTCGGAGAACATTGGAAAAGCTGGATCTAAACAAAGGTCCATCTAGTCCCTCATCATGGGTCTCACACTGGCAACCAGATTCTCTGGGAAACCCCCAAGCAGGACACCCGGACCCCAGTGCTTGCTTGCCCTTGTCTTCCTGCAGCTGCTTTTCAGCAGCAAAATGCCACCAGCCAGTTCTAGTTGGCCATCATTGCCAATAGCCATGGACAAAGCTCTCCTCCATGAGAGTGGCTCATCCCCTTTTAAAGCCCCCAAAAGCCAGCCATGCATCCACCCAGGAGTGGGGGTAGCGGAATGCTGACCTGTAGACTGTACCACTTCAGGTTCCAGATTGGGGGGCGGGGTCACATTTATGAATTTTCCCCAAATTGGAAATAGGCCCCATTCAACTGCTCCTTCACCTCAGGACCAAATCACCCAACCAAGTTAATCAAGGTGCAAGGCTTTCTTTTGGGTGTCCCCCACCAGCAGTTTTTGACAGATATGCTACAGGTGAAGTCTAAGTAGCTATAGAACCTGGAGCAGGCAGTGGACAAGACCTTTCAAACTACCCACGTCACATGCAGTCAGCCATCTTGGCTGCATGTACAGGCCAGGCCAGAACTGTCTGCCATCCTCCAAGCCTGTGCACCTGATTCTCTCTGTCACGCAAAGAAGGAATTCCTCTGGTCGTTCCTCATTCTCTGCCAGTCGCATGGCCCCAAGTTCACATGTTCTGAGGGAGGAGAAGAAACTTCTCTCTCCCCACTTTGTCCAAGCCATACATAACCGTCTTCACCTCTATTATGTCTCCTCTAAGTCAATTCTCTTCTAAATTATATGCCCCACATCATCAACTTTCCTTCTTCAGCGGGTGCTTCAGCACCCAGATTTCCATTTTCTGTAGTTTACAGAGAATTTCTCATGTCGGCTGAGGAGAATTTCACAGTGGAAAAATTCCTTCTGAAGCCATATGGCTCCCAACTGCCAGGACAGAAGGTGGGGGAATGTGCTACACCTCACTCCATTGCCTTCAATGGGAAGGTAGCTGCTAACCCAGCTCTCAAACTGGGGCTGTTTTCGGAGGCACAAGACAGAGAGAAACCTATAATCCCATGGTTCCTTGACCATCCCAACACCCTCCCAAACTTTTCCAAGTTTCTCCTCACCCCCACTGGAGTACACCTAGGAGGACCCTGGCCTCATGCCTCAGATTGCTTTGAAATGTGGGCCAAGCAGAACTTTCAGCCACCCCCAGATGTGGGCCTGCATCTTGCATCGTCCATCCAAGGTACCCAGGAGGTCTTGCTGACCACAGACTTCCATACAGAACTAGCCCCTCAGAGCCATATACCTTCATTATATGTATGGTCCCTTCTTGCCTTTTCTTGAGATCTTCGGAGCGCTTGTTGAAGTCCTCCTGCAGTTTCTGTGATCCATGTTTCACACTCTCTGCTCCAGCTGCTCTCAGAGCTTCCAGCTGTGAAAGGCCCAAGGTGGTTGGGAAAGATGGCTTAATTCATTTTGTTCTCAAGGGAGTGAAGGAAAAGCAATTTACTAGCAGATGCGGGTGTAAAAAGGGCACATTAAAAGGAAAGGGGAGCAAAAACACAGGATTGAAACCACTACCGGGCATCAGGGTTAAGCCACAACAAAAATGGCTGTCAACATTTCCAAAACTTTCTAAGATTTCAGCTCTGGTGAATGTTTCAGGCAAAGAAAGGTTCTATAAACCTAGGAAAAGCAATACAAGTATCTTTCTATGTATCACTAGAACATAGGAACTGGAGGAATTCACTTCTAAAGGCCATCCTCATATCTGGGAAGAGGCAGTCCCGCACAGAGCTTGTGTCCAAATTGTGAAGAGATGCAGGAATCCTGGAGAAAGCTACGGCACTGACAAAGATCTGCCCAGTCCCCGCACAATTCACTTCTGAATAATTTTACAGCTGTGGCACACCGTCCAGCTTGCTGAACATCTAGCGCATGGTGCAGAAGCGGAGACTGGCCTTCCCCAACCTGGTGGCCTTCAGAGGCATTTGGACTGTAACTCCCAGAATCCCCATCCAGCAGGGCCATTGACTGGGAATTCTGGGTGTTGCAGTCCAAATGTATCTGGAAGGTGGAAGGCTGGTGTAGACTGTACGCACTATAAGCGGTTCATGCCGTAAATGGCACCCCCGCATGGCATCCCCCCAACACTCCTCCATGCTGGTCACCCACATCTTGTCTTGCTTTTTTTCTTCTCCTAATAGCAGCAGCCAATGATGTGAAGATCAGGGCAGGGGAAAAGCGCCATGAAGCCATGTTTCACCAGGGATAATTACCAATCATTACTGGGGACAATGGGTATGTAGGGCCGGGGATGGCAACACAAGTGTGGCACTTTAGGCCGCAGCTTCAGAGCAAGTGCGATGTGGCATAAAACCACTGGGAAAGGCACTACTTGGTTCCAATTGCTCTGTGCAGAAAATACTGGAAAAACTGTTCCTGTACGAATCATGTACCATAGACAAAAAAGCATGCAATGCTGAACAAAACTCAAAGAGTGAAGGCCTCAAATTCCATCAATTGCTAGTGCAATGAATGAACCCCGCCAAGCCATAATGTTGGTCTTCATTGTCCAAGGCAAGCGAGTTCTTGAATGGTGGAAGACTCAGGACAGTCAAAAGAAAGGGTTCCTTCACAACGCACTTAAATGATGGAAGATGTAGTGAGAGCCACTGGGCAGCATGAAAGGGGGACTGGGCACATTTGGGAGAAGCAGACAATCAGTGCTGCTAGTCCTGATGGCTCTTCCAGAATTAGAGGCAGCATGCTGGAGAACATGGTGGGCGGGGAGGATGTCCTTGCACTATTGCTTGCTTGAGAGTTTCCCACAAGCAGCTGGTTGGTCATTCGGTGAACAGAACACTAGCTAAGATGTACCCTTATCGATCTTTCTTCCTCTTATATTTCCATTCTGCCTTATTCCCCTCTTGTGAAGAACCCAAGGCAACTTACAACTTAGACCTCCTCCTCCTCTTCATTGTACCATCACAACAAACCTGTGAGGTAGGCTGGGCTGAAAGTCTGCAACTGACCCAGGGCACTTCATGGCTGAGTGGGGACTAGAACCCGGGTCTCCGCGGTCCGTGGTCCAGCACTCTCCCCACCACACCACACTGGCTCTCTTCTCGTGTTCTTAAGCTCAGAACAAATCAAGCTTGAGGATAGGCTTAAGGATATGTCTAGGGTATCCTGTTCAATATGCATGGTAGGCATGTCACAAGCAGCACTGGCTGGAGCCGGGGGGTCAGACTAGATGGCCCGGCAGGACCCTTCTGACTCACTCAGTTTCGATGTTTGTATGTTTATTCCTCTCCTGACCTGCCCTTTTGGAAACAGCTCCATTTGCTCACCCTCATTCTGGACCAAAACAAGGTGAAAAATCTCCATTTACCAAGGGATTTGAATTTTAAAGAACAAGACATACCAGGACTGTTAGGAAATGATACTTTGGATGCTGCCACCAGATGCTTTGCCACATCACCACAGCACCCAGGTTTTTGCAGCCGCTCTACCTCTATCAGCTGTCATAATGGTCGACCACCACCAGGGGGCACTAAAGAGGAATTTTGTCCAGGGACAGCATCCATACACACCTATGTTGAATGAGCTGGACCCCTTTGTAAACTGACCCTTATGACTGCATGCATTTATGCCCATGGGTGTGCCAGGCATGCACACGCATACAGCTTGCCCTTGAGGGCTGACTGAAAACATGTCACAGTTCTGTTGATCTTCAACAAAGTAGTTTAAAAATTCAGCTATGAACTGTGCACCTAGGAGCCCTCGCATACCATCAACCCTTTTTATTCAAACGTCATTTTAAAAATTAGTAATTTTAGAAGTTAACAGTTGTTTTTTGATTATATTTTTTACTGGTTATATACTATTCTATTGTATTGCCTCATTGTTTGTTTTTATTGGTTGTTGGTTTTAATGTTGTAAGCCATCCTGAGACATTGTTGTAAAGGATGGCATATAAATGTTTAAAATAAATAAATAAATCTGCAAAGGCAGCTATGCAGGTGAATTGATTGGTTCAGGCAGGACAAGAAAAGATCTCGACTGACTGGAGGTATTGAGAACTCTGAATTGCTTTCAGACCTGCCTCTTCCCGGAATGCATTTGATCTCCAGA